TAGCATGGGTTACTTCTTTAGTTTAGTAGCTATAGTCTGCAAGGGCACTATTGAACTGCAGAAAAATACTGGCACCAGATGTGCACCTGGAATGATTGTGGGCTAGTATGGTAAAAACACAATGAGATGGGGCATGAACATTGATAGCAAGCAGGGAGAGTGTTGCACTACACCAAACTGAACCCTGCTTACTGGTGGAGACTAGAGAGATCACTGAGCCAGGCCCTGCTTGCTGGCCATACACCAGGCTAGAAGTGGAGCATGCTTGCTTTTTGACTGGGCACAGAAAGTGCACCTAGCCTGGTGGGCCTTGCTTGCTGGCTGAATATAGAATGAGCACCTAGCCAGGCCAGGCCTAGCTTCATGTCGGGGCTTGGACAGATTACTGAGTTGGGGCTTGGGTCTACTTGCTTGCTAGTAGGGCACTGAAAAAGTGTCTAGTAGGGCCCTATCCTGCTTGTTTGCAGGGTGCATAGAGATTTCTGGGTTGGGGGCTGGGCCTTCTTGCTTGTGGGGCAGGGAAAGAAAGCCTAACTGCCTTTAACCTTTCTTGTTGGTAGGACATGAAAAGATTGCTGGCCAGGGCTTGGGCCTGCAACTTTGTTAGCAGGAGGCACAAAGGGAACCTACTCTTCTCTTAATTTTTAGCACTATTTTGTCTCCAACTTGTATTCTGATTGTGGTAGTTACATCATCTAGTGTCAACTTGGGAAGGGATAGAGTCTAGCCTGTCAATCAGGTCACAGCTTGATGACTTCATTTGGAGGCACCATGGAGATAAAAATCTCACTGGATGCCAGATACACTGACACTCTGCTTCGTCTTCGTGCTGACAAGCCACATGGAGCCATGGTGATGACAGCCAGAACCCTGGAGTTGGAGGAGTCATGTGGTGACCTGCATTGGGCCCAAGATGCTTCCACCACTAGATCAACCACAGGCCAGTGATCTTCCTGCATTCAGCATCATTGCATGTGCTGCATGAGTCTCAAGAGGAATTCATGGACTAATATCGGATTTAAGGGCTAATATTGAACTCATGGACTTGATCTGGACTAGGCTGGGATGTTTTCTTAATGTACAATTGCTCTTTGATATAAAGTTCTCTCTTACACACATATGTCTCTCCTTGGATCTGTTTCTCTAGTCTACCCAGACTAACCCACTGACAATTGAGAAAATTACTTCTTAGCTTTCTGTCTTTTTTTCTGACAGTCTCTAAATCGACTTATTGGCAATGGATTTAGTATTTTGTGTTGGTCTTACATATCTGCTTACATTGTGAACATGGCAATTTCTCTCTTCTAAATTCTTTCACAGCTAGTGAATAGTCTCATATGACTGTAGTTACTATCTTTAGTTATTACCTTAGTAATGGCTCCTAAATTTTTATTATCATCCAACTTACCCTGTGTGCTCATGGATAATTCCACCTGCATTTTCTACAGCTAACATTAAAACAAGATTGTTTTAATCTTGCTGACCCTCTCCAACTCTGTATTAGGCCGATTGACAAGATAAACAAGTCCAGTGATGCTCATATATGTGTGCGTTAGTCTGGGTGGACTAAAGAAACAAATCCAGAGACACTCGTGTGTAACAGAGAGCTTTATATCAACAAGCAATTGTGTATTGAGAAGACATCTCAGCCCAGACCAACTCAAGTCCCTAAGTCTAATACTAATCCATCAGCCCCTCTTCAGACTCACGCAGCCACATACAATGACGCAGAATGCAGGAAGATAGTAGGCCAGTGGGTGCAGTTGTGTGGGTCCAATGACCATCAGTGGCCATGTCACAGGGCTTGAACAGGTCTCCATATGGCTTAGCAATAGGAAGGTGAAGACCATGGGGTGAGGGTGGAGGACTTGGTACACAGGACCCTCCTTATGAGACGACCACACCCACAAAGAGATACCATCAGGCTAAGCTGGTTAACAGGCTAGACTCCACCCCCATACTTTTATTTATCAAGTTGACATGAAGTTATGTAGCTACCCCAAACTCCATTCTTGCATTTTTTCCAATCTCAGTTAATAGCATCAATGCCTACCTAACTGTTCATGCCCCTTTCTGCATAGCTGCCAATAAATTAATGATCAAGTTTTCTTTCTCTAAAACTAGTTTACCTAATCTTTATTATATTTCCTTATTGTAAGTGTTCATCTCTTGAATCAACTCATTTTTCAAATTACTTCAATCTGTACTTTTCTTTGGCATTGCTTCTAAAATATAAGTCTGGTTGTGTATGATAGATACCCCGTGACTTACCTCAATCTCTATTGTTCCCATAAGAATTCTTTCTGTGTGTGCTAGAAATTTCATTAGACAAACCTTATCATATCAGGATAGCAAAAGATTGCAGCAAACCTATTTATAATAACTTTATCTTTAAATAGATGATGAGCTTTATCTAGTAATCTATTTACTGACACTATATGTATATATTTTAAAAGTATACTTCCTTGTCAGGGTAATCAAGCCCCTAACACATCATCACGGGTCCAGTAGGCACAACTGTACAGCGATAATAAGTAAATATTATAGTAAAGTCATAGAGAGCATGAGAGATAGAAGAGAGATTGAAATAACGGAATCAGACACATTTCATGGTAGGAATGCTTACCTCAGCCTCACTTGGTGGTCCACGTGGAGAGAGAGATATTTAATGCTAGCCAAGGCTTTTACATTCTCTGGGGACATACAAGCCCCCTAATTACAGGTGAAGACATACATCACAGGAAAGGGTTGTGCCATAGGTAATACAGTAATGGGAGGGGGGTGACCTAGGGGTATACAGGCAATAGGAAGAGGAGGGATTGTGGGGATACATGTGGCAAGATGGGCGGATCCTAGATTCAGGATGGCAGCCTAACTTTAGATGTCACTGAGCCGGTTTGTTAAAGCACTATTATACTTGTTAATAATTGCCAATAGTTTGACTGTGCTTATACTCCCCATTTGAATTTCTGGAACATGTTAGAACATAGTAAGGTTCTAGAAAAATGAAAGACAGAAATAGTCCTCTACCCATTTCCATCGAGTCAATTCAGACTCATAGTGACCCTATCAGGCAGAGCTGCTCCACAGGGTTTCCAAAGCGCAAATATTATGGAAGCTGACAGCCTCGCCTTTTTCCTGTGGAGTAGCTTATGTGTTCAGTCTAACACTCAACCCACTACACCGCTAGGCTATTTGTAATAGTCCTCTAAATAACGGTCTAGGAGCTCTGGTGGCAAAGTGGTTCCATATTGGGCTCCTAACCTCAGTAGTTCAAAACCACAAGCTGCTCCATGGGAGAAAGAGGAAGCTTTCTACTCTAAACGGAAAGCGAATTTTGAAGATGAGGGCAAAAAATGTATAAGTGTGCTTTGCACAATTGATGTGTGTATGGATTGTGATAAGAGTTGTATGAGCCCCAATAAAATGATTTTTTTTTTTAATTTTAAAAAGAGTTACAGTCCTGTAAACCTAAGAGGCAATTTTACCCTGTCCTATCGGGTCAATATTAAGTCGGAATCAACTTGATGGCGATAACATTGAGGGTTGTTTTGAGTTCTAGATAAATGCACTGATGGTACAGTGGTTTATGTATTACTAACCGCAATGTCAGCAGTTCAAATTCACAAGCTAGTCCAGAGAAAAAGATAACATTTCCTGTTCCCAACACCCACAGGGAGTTGTACTCTGTTCCACAGTTGGAATTTACTTAATGGCAGTGAGTTTAGTTTTCTTGAGATAAATATCATTTGAAGGTGAGAAATAAAACAGATGTAGCTGCTTCTATCTAGGAACATATAACGAAGCCAGTGTCCATTAAAAAGATATGAAAAAAAATAAAAAGATATGAAAAAAGGTTAAGTTCTTTCCCTAAAGCATACTGACCATATTTTTATAATTCCTTAGAGTAAGTTATATATTTTGATAAACATTTTAGATAGTTGTCTTAAAATATAAGAAACAAGAGATTCTTCTTTTAAACTAACAATGCAGTGGATATGTGGTAACAAGATTGTCTGAAAATGGGCCAGTTCAAGGGGATTTGCTTTACCATATTTTCTCCAAGTTAAGCAGCTAGGAATGAAAGCATGTAGGTTGCAGGCTATTTAATCTATTACTTGTTATTTAGGAGAAGCTTCTTCAAGTCATTTTTGAAGATTTTTTCCCCTGGCCTTACTAATTCAATCTTGCTCATAATAGAATAGTTAGCATATAAAAAGTATACAGAAAAAAGTAAAAAAACCTGTAATCCTCCCATTAGACCCTTAAAGTTAATATTCTGGTATGTTTGTTTCTTATTATGTTAAAACATAGTAAGGTCCTTTTTCTAAGCATACAAAAAATATACATACATATAAAAATGAATTATGTCATTTACACTGTTAGTCTGGGTAAGCTAGGGAAACAAATCCACCGAAACTCATATATATATGAGAGAGTTTTATATAAAGGGTAAGTCTACATTAAGAAAGCATCCCAACCCAGTGCTGTCCAAGCCTTTTAAGTCCAACATTAGCCCATATGTCTGACACCGATCTATAAAGGTCTCCTCAATTTCACAGAACACACCCAATGACACCAACTGCAGGAGGAATGCCGAGTCAGTGCACATGTAAGCATCTCAGCGCTGGCAGGGGTCTCCACATGGATGCTCCAGCACACAGGGCTGCATCAGGGTAGGTCCATGCGGCTTCTCCTCAGGGCTGTCCTGCAGGAAGTCAGCCTTGCCAGCTGAAGCAGGGAACTGGCTAAGGCAGCTGCATCCTCGTCCGACCATCATAAAGCAAGAGACCCGAGAACTAGAAAGGTGAGGCTCACCGAGCCATTTATCTCTCCTCTCTACAATTAATCCCACATGTGTTTATCAGCCAGGATGGCACAATAAACCTTAACTATCTCAACACAATTTGAGAGTTTGCATTTTTTACTAAATTAAAAAAATGGTCTTGAGTTGCTTTTCCTTACACCTACATATTCTTCTAAGAATTTATGACATCAAAGGCCAAAAAATAAAGCTTTCTTTAAATGAATATATCATAACATGAAAATAAGAATGTTATTTATAACATTTAAAAATGTTATGCAAAAGCATACAATTCAATTGGTATATTATTTCTACATCTTTATGACTTCTCAGAAGCTAGTAGAGTGAATAAGTTAGAAAAGGAAACCGTGTCACAAATATTTAAAGTCCTATTGCTGAGGTGCCAATTAGAAGCTATAGATTCTACATGAAGTCACACATGAATAACTGAAGGTCTATTTGTAAAGTTGACATGCTGAACTCCTACAAGCTGTAAAACAGAGTTGATGGGTTTGTGATCCAACCTATTCCTGTCACGGTGTATAAAATGGATGTTATTACCTAGAAGACAAAAAGAATAAAGGGCTGAGGTTGGCATGTGATTAGTAGCTATTAGATTTATTGCTTACTACAACCAACGGCATTGCCCAACTTTTAATTAGTCCAGAGGAAAAAAATTAATGACCTGGAGTACATGGTGTTCATTATATAATGGCATAATAATTTTAAATTATGCAATACTGCATGACAAGGATGATGGTTAAATAAGAGTGATACTTAATATTTTATGTAGTCCAAGGGGAATGACTTTAAAATTATAACCTCCTGTTAGGTTTTATTAAATAAAGTTAAATCAAATGACAGACCTAGGAATTAACATAGCTATCCAGCAAGAAAATCACATCTTCGTAAATATATGGAATAAATAGCTCACTTACAACACCCATTCCAAAATACTGATTTAATATATTATCTGCATAACCATAGCTCAAAAGAAGTCAACAATAAGGGCATTAATACAACTATAGCACACTTAAAAGTACTGTAGATTGCTTTTACTTGCTCAAGTAATTTTAACTTAAAAAAAAAGGATTAACTAACTATCATGTTTTTGGCATTGTGTTTACTTGCAGTCTCAAGTAATCACGATGCTTACTATTATAAATTGGTTTACTATCAAATAAAGCAATATGAAATATAGGTTATCCATGACAATAGATTTATATAAACTTATCATGATTTTTTTCATGAGAAGAGTTATGTTCTTTTCACCAAAAACAAGCTCTTTGTTCCATATGTTCACAGCTGTGCTGCCTACACATAAGGCCCTTCACTCAGTCTTCATTTTTATGCACAGGAGGTATGGTCAAATGTGCAGTCCGATGAAGAATTTAAAAACACTTTTCAGCTTTGAGAACAGAAATGGGGTATTGAAAAATGTAGCTCAATTTCATTCTGGGTTAGTTTATAAGACTCATTATTTTCATCAAGTAGGACTTCTTGTTAGCTAACTGGTGTTAACTTCATGGGAAGTTTAAGGGAGATTAAATGACCAATTTTAATGATACAAAAAACAAAAATCATAATACTTCATAAAAATTCTTCTTCTAAAATCTTCCCACAGCTGGAATTTATGAAAGTAAATGTTAATTCTGTAGCTCTTAGCAACTATACTCACTAAAGTGGACAATCTTAAAGAACCCCCAAGAAAAGTCCATTTACAGTGTAGTGACATAGGCTTGTTGTCCAGTGTTGATGCTTGTCTTTCATGAAATGTGGTAGAGATACAATGGTAGAAGGGCCCTGGTGGTGGTTAGTTAGGTTTAAACTCACCAGCTACTCTGAGGGAGGAAGATCGGCCTGTTCATGTAAAGTTTTACAGGAAACTCTATATACAGTGCCATGGATGGGAATCAACTTGATGGCAGTAGGGTGGCAAGATGTACCAACAGCTTCAGCAGAGAGACGCCAAAGGAGTTTCAGGTAATCCAAACTGATCAATAAACTGCTCTATAGTTTCCTGTCAAGAGCAGATTGCTAGATAAGTCTTCTGAGGTGTCTTTGGAGGGTTTAAACCGCCAACCTGTCGGCTGCAGTTAAGTGCTTAATCACTTATGTGACATAGGAACTCCTAAAAAATGAACAAGTCACCAAATCAGGTTTATACGTTTGACTTTCCCTATCGAAAGTACCTGACATCAATCAAGAATGGAATGAAGGGAACATTATGTGAACCAAAAAGACATTAAAATACACAGGAGTCTTCGGAAGGGAAGGAAGATGAGGAGGGGAAGCTTTCTACAAAAACACAGCACTGTATAACTCTAAAGTCATGCTCCCTATTTCTACGTGGTGTCTGGTTTATGAAGAAAGGAGGGGGAATCTGGACGTCTATAAAGTACTGGACACATACACCCGAATCTCGGATACTTACCTGGACCTAAAATGAGGGCTCCTCCTTGCTGAGCTGGGTCTCCTTGAAAATCAAACAGAGGTCCAGTCACTGCACGCCACATGCTCTGAATGCTTCCTGAGAGGAGATTTGATTTCACGTGGGGACTCTGCCCTGAGACATATAAGGAATTATCTTTAAGTGTTATTCTATATTTATTAGCTTGGGAAGAATATGCTCTTCCTTATGTGCCATTTTACTTTCTACTAATATTTTTTTCCCCTTTCAAAGCAGGGCTTCTCTACCTTTTCACTATTGACATTTTGGGCCAGGTAATCCTTTGTCCAGTTTGTGCATTGCTGAAATTTCAGTAACACTTCTGGCTTCTAATGACTGGATGCCAGTGGTATCCCCTTAGTCAATTGTGACAACCAAAAATGTTTAGATATTGCCTAATGTCCCATATGGACAAAATCATTCCTAATGGAGAACCACCTATCTTAAAGGCAGAAGTGATTAAAAAAAAAAGCCAGATAATTTATTGCCATGCATACACAAAAGAGCTGCTAAAGATTTCTCACACTGGTGAGAAATTAATTCCCCATTTGTTTCTGTTGAGTCTCTTAACCTACTAGAGGTAGCTAATACTCACTTTCAAGATACACAGCTAGTATAGCCAGCTTTCCATTTCTTCCTCACTTTCCGTCCATCCACCTTGTCTGAACCAGAACGAAGCTCTCTGCTCTTTGCGAACTCAACATTTTAATTCTCTTTGTACTTCTTTTTCTTCTATGACTGTCTTTTGAATCTTGATTTTGGCTTTTTATGATGAAGGTGATTTTGCAATCTTTTACCTGCCTTATATCCTAATCTTTCCAAATATTTATTATTTCCCATCATCTTCTTTCATTTTTGCATTAGGATTGGCATCCATCTATCTAAGAAAATTAAAACAGGCTCATTACCTTAAAGATATATCTAAAAGCCTAACCATTGAAGAGGTAAAACAGTTGCTGTTAACTTAGATAAATGAGAAACAACTTGAGGTGATAACGTATCCGAGACAGTGGTATGTGATAAGGCTAAAACCCTTCATAGTGATTCAATGAATATTGTTTCAAGTGTGAGTGCTGAGCAGCCCAAAGTGTTCAAAGCTTTCAAACTCTGGTTGGTTTGAAAAATGTAAAAAAAAGAAGAGGCAGACACAGTGTGGTATGTCTACACAGTGTCGTGAGACATGGGGCAGGAACAAGTGCAAATAAAGAGGAAGCCAATAAATTTGTAGCTGAATTTGCTGATAATGTGGACTCTGAGGGTTTCATTCTCCAGCAAGTATTTAATTGTGATGAAGCTGGACTTTTTGGAAAAACTGTCCAATAGGACCTTCATTACTAAAGAGGAAAAGGCATTGCCAGGCCACAAGCCTGTGAAAAATAGCTCACTCTGTTGATGTGTTGGAATGCTAGTGGGGTTTTAAGTGAAGCCCATGTTAGTGTGCCATTCTGAAAGCCCACTTTTTTTTTTTAACAAAACATAATGAAAAATAAGTTAATTTTATTCCCTGTGTTGTGTTTTGAGAGTTAATATGCTTATTTATTGTGTTTAGATGTTTCAGGAAGTATTTCCACATAACTGGTGTTAAAGTCCTGGAAAAATGAATTTATAAGTATAATTTTTGGAATGATTTCTTATGGTAAAAAATATGTTCAGTTCTTGAACTTTTTGGTTTTCAAACACAACTCTGGAAAGAATTGAATTCTACAAACAAGGTATCACTGTATTATTTTTATTTTTATTAAAAAAGTAAAATGCATTCACTGTAAAAATTACATACAAGTCACTGTCCTCCCATCCATTGGGTAACTACTACAGCATCTTTTAAAGCATCTTTCAGTACATATATATGAGCCCTTTCTACCACTTGTCTGTCAGTTTGTTGTACTGAGGTGGTTTGTGTGTTGCTGTGAGGCTGGAAGCTATGTCACTGGTGTTTCAAATGCCATTAGGGTCACCCAAAGTAAACAGGTTTCAATATATCTTCCAGACTAAGAAGAGACTATGAATGAGGAATAGGCTGTCCACGTCCAAAGAATGACAGATTCAAGAGGAATGGCATTGCATTTATAATCATAAAGGACATTTCAAGACCCATATCTTATCTGTGATAGGACAATAGCTATCCATATGCAGGAAATCCAGTCAATACAACTCTTGTTCAAATTTATGAACCAACCACTAAAGCCTGTGATTGGAATGCAAAAGTTGAAGACAAAGAGGAGGAAACAATAGTTGGAAAATATGGCCTTAGTGATAGAAGCGATGCTGGAGATCACATGACAGAATTTGCAAAACTAATGACTTCTTCATTGCAAATACCTTTTTTCAACAACACAGAAGGTCACTATGAAGTGGAATATATAGAAATCAAATTGATTATATCTGTGGGACAAGATAATGGGGAAGCTCAATATCAGATAGCCAGACTCATATATAAGTTCAGAATGAAGCATTAAGAGAGAGAAATGACCAAGGGTCCAAGCACAAAGCAAATGGTTTGAGAATGATGAGGGCAACAAATGTACAAATGTGCTTGACTCAATGGATGAATGTATGGGTTGTGATAAGAGTTGTATGAGCCCCCAATAAATGATTTTTTAAAAAGAGAGAAATGAGAAATTTAAAACAACTCCACAAGAGCAAAATACAACCTTAAGTATATCCTACTTGAACCACTTAACAGAATCACCAAAGAAGTATGATTTATGAGCTTACCATTCATTCTCTTAAACATATGCATCAAACATGAAGATAAACCAGCAGTATTTTCTACTTAAGATCTATCATACCTGAGGAGACAATGTCTTCACCTCTTTTCATTCCCAGTCTTTTATAAATTTCTCTCTCAGGGTCAACATAGATTTCATGAGCATACCCAGTTAGTTTGCAAAAAGGCTAAAAAAAAAAATGTTGGGACTTGAATAAATCAGTGAAAAGTAACAAAATTCAACCTAATTCTAGCAAATTTAACCATTTGAGTACTTTAATAATATATTTTTCATGTATTAAAGAGACTTACTCTGTTAGTTTCCCATTTGCTAAATACTTACCTCAATATGATGATAGGATGACTGTCCAATCACTATCAGGGTGACAGATGCTTCCTTTTACAAAAATAAAGAACATATACATGTTAGAAATCATATTTTCTATGACTTGCCTTTTGGTCCATTCTAGTGCCACCTACAGGCTCAGGAATAAACAGCAAACTTGATGTGAGTCAAATCAAAGAAGTGTACTAAATACACCAAAATGTTAATGTTAAATGGCTCTTCTGCTAAGTAAGAATTTTAAACTGACATAGTAATTTTAGATTCACTTCATAGATACACATAAAACAGATTAAAAACTAAGCCTGCTTATTTAATCAAGTTTAGTTTTTTTCACAGTTCAATTGACAAGGTCTGTAGTTTCATAAAAGTTGCCCAATAACTTTACTCAAAAGCTTACCTGGAAATAAAACTAATGTGACTGTATTGATCATCAGGAATTGAGATACCCCTCCTATTAACAGATACAAAATTTTGCCTTTGACATAATATTTTTTCTATAATGAACAAAACAACTGAAGAGTGTGATAAGAAAATTCAGGAAATACCGATAATTTCCACTCAACGTTTGAGATTAGACTGGTCAGTAAGGGGCTCAGAAGCATTGTGCTGCTGACTTCAAGGCCAGTCATTTGAAACCACCAGCAGCTCTTTGAAGAAAGATAGGACTTTTTATTACGTGAAGATTACAGTCTTGGACACAGGGACAATTTTACTCTGTTACTGAGCTCTATGCAAAGACTCGATAGTAGTGAGCTTTTTTAGTTAAGCGGGTTAGTAAGATAAAATACTTATTGTGGCTACTAAATTTATAAGCAGACTACAATGAATAAATAAGGGCACACATACATTTCTCCTGCTGTCTATCTCCTTTGTGGATATGCCAGTGGGATGTGTGAGGAGGTTGGCGTTTCTGAGCCCGGCAAGCAGTGGACTCCCCACCTCCTGTTGCACTTTTAAATGACAAGTATCTTTCTAAGATCGTCCTGAAACAGGATAGCTGCTACTAACTGTTGGAAAACTTACTTCTAAGAAACTCTTGGGGATTTTAGCCAGATCTTCTACGTATTCCTTGCAGATGTAACACAGGAAATGCTGAAATCCCAACAGGGCATAAAAGGAAGTTAGCAACATAAACACCTTCAGGGCCAGGAAGAAAAGCATTGCCCAAACCAAACACTCACAGCCAGTAGAAAAACGTTGTCAGTCAGTCAAACCAGGCTGCCTGCAATCCCTCCCACCTCACCCCACCTCACCCCACCCCACCCCACCGCTATGGCTGCGCCACTGGCTGGGGAAGCGAGGGGAAGCCTCTTGTAGAAGGACAACCTGGGCTGAGGACGCTTGTAGAAGGACAACCTCGGCTGGGGGCGCTCGTAGGAGGTCAACCTGGGCTGGGGGCTCTCGTAG